AAGGAAAGGAAAGGAAAGGAAAGGAAAGGAAAGGAAAGGAAAGGAAAAGCTAGCCAGGTAATGGTGTTGCACACCTTTAATCCCAGCACTTGGGACGCAGAGGCAGGTATATCCCCGTGAGTCAAAGCAAGTTCCAATACAACCAGGGCAACAAAGAGAAACCCTGCGGCGGGGGTGGGGGGGAGTCTACTCCTGCTATATCTAAGCGGCCATGAGTCTGTCCTAAGAAGTAAAATGTGTTTTAGATACGTAATTAAGTCACCAGGTCAAGCCATGGAAGCATCAGCTAGTACTATGTTAGGCTCACAGACCTTAAGTGTACTATGCTTGCCGAGCATATAACATCTTAAAATCCTAAGCTCCCTGAAAGACCATGCTGTTCTCTCCATGCAATACACAGTCACCCTGGGAGGGTGCTTGTAGGTATCCCCCTGCCTCCAACCTCACAAGCAGGAGGGACATAAGTGCCCATCATAAGCCAACCTGTTCTCTGCTGGGAGAAACACTGTTACTTTCTCTGGAGGGACTTATGGGCAGCTGTGCTGTCCAGTGGCCTCTCTGCTGCAAACCTCCAGAGTCGCCTTCTCCCTTAGCTCCTGCCCTTCGACCTCATGTCCCCTGCGACTTTAAACCCACCTCTGCAAACACTCTGTACTGCTTCTCCCAGAGTCCCCTTCGGCTGACAGGCGAGCTTCTCGAGAGCAGGACTGTGCGGTGACCATCCTCACTTCTCACTAACCCCACAAACAAGACCTGAGTGAGGCGATGACGCTGCCGCCAGTGGAGAGTTTCACTCAGGACCCCAGCCCCTCTGAGTGACAGACACCCAGCTCCAGAGCTACTACTGAGACATCTTCCTGGACAAGACAAGTGCTCCTTTTGACTCCACAACACCAAGGACGCAAATGTGCACACATCTGGTTATTCTCCACACAGGTGTTGAGGAAACATTAAGGCTTTCTTGTTGAGGAAATGACACTGTTCTCTTCTGAAAGGTTACAAATTAAGCCTCAGCATCTTCCCAGGGGGAAATTTCTGAGAAATCTGAAAACCACAATGTGGTTTTTCCACCATAGGTTGATAAGCAAATGCCATTTGGAGAATACCATTTCCAAAGCCCTTGGTTTTGTCAAATTCATATAGATACTAGCCTACTAAGGAAAGGTGGGTCTTTCTGGATTTTGTTGTAACAATTTCTTCTTTCTTCTGTTTTGTTTTTTTGAGACAAGGTTTCTCTGTGTAGTCCTGGCTCTCCTGAAAAACTCTATGGCCTTGAACTAACAGAGATCCATCTGCCTCTGCCTCTGCCTCTACCTCCTGAGTGCTGGGATTAAAGGTGTGCACCACCACACCTGACCCACAATTTCTAAACTGTAAAATACCAATATATAGTTTTCTTAAAGTCAAAATTGGACTCTATACTAACTTTTAGGAATATAAAATATTGGTTAGTAATTTATTACTTCTTTGTCAGCAGGTAAACATTAAAAGTCACTAAAAAGATTTTTTTTAAGCTCTAAGGAAATGAAAGAATAGAGCTAGAGAGAAGGCTCAGTAATTAACAGTGCTTTTTGATCTTCTAGAGGACCTGAGTTCAGATCCCAGAAGACATGTCAGGTGGCTCTCACAACCACCTATAATTCCAGAACAACAACAAAATAATCATAAAAGAACATTTCTAAAAGAATAATAAAAAATTCAATATCAGACTGGCTTTCAAATTTCTTGATCTTAATACATTATGTAAATGTATGAAATTACCAAGGAATACTAAAAAAAAAAAACCAATGTCAGACTGCCTTTAGCATCTCTAGCTTCCCACGTTGCTAAATGAAACAATCCTATCATAGATACATATTAGGGGGGGGGAGCTCCACACAGACTCGGAATCAGCGTACCACATCCAACAATTTCAAACACCTACAAATGAGCAGAGGGAACAGGAAGTAACAGAAAATAATTAACTGCTCAATGAAGCTTTTATGAAATGTCACCCGGAAAACATTAAGATAACTCATTCTGGTTAACTTATAATTGTCTTTGGGTGTTTACTATAGAGTTAGGTAGAATATCAGTTACAGAGCAACACGGGGAAGAGGGCAAAACAGGCAGCAAAGGGGCGCTGGCATCTGTCTGTTAGGAACCAACAGTGTGCACTTAGACAAGTCACTAATCTCGCTCAACTTCAGGACAGAAGCCACCAACTTTCGTGTGATAACAGACAATGGGAAAATATGATGGAAACTCAAAATCCCACGTGTAATGGCAACAAGAAACAGTAAGTACAGATAATCTTAAAAATAAATATACAAACCTACATATGCAAAATTTTAAATGCTACAGGAAGAATTTTTTTTTAATGCATGGGTATGCAGAAAGGCACACTGTTCCCAGACAGGGAGATCCAGTATCATGAAAATATTAATTTCTCCCTCATTAATCATTTTTAAATCCAGTCAATAAATGTCAATAGGCTTTTATAAAAAAGAAAAAAACCTGATTTTAAATTAATGAAGATACATTAGACTGCCAGGAAATAAACTTTCCCTTTCAGACAGCAGAGTTTTTTTTTTTTTCACGCTGAGATGATGAAGATTCCTAGTAGCTGCATAAAAATCCAGGCATGGCAATGAAGTCCCAGGGCTGGGAGAGTTCACTCCACAAAGTCATTCCCTGGCTTCTATGTGCACACTGTGCTACCCAGGCCCCCCACAGGCCTGCCCTCACAAAAGGCATATAATAACCACAGAAACACCAATAAATAAACACAATTTTTAAATTTTTGTTTAGATTTACTCATTTTATTTTATGTGGATGAGTATGCTTGCATGCAAGTCTGCACACCCCATGCATGCCTGGTGCCTGCAGAGGCCATAAGGCGACACTGGAATTGGAGTTGTTACCAATGGTTGTGAGTCAAACCCAGGTCCTCTGCAAAACAAGTGATCTTAACCTGCCCAAGGGAAGCCTTCTTAGGAGCCGTCGGAGTAGGCTATACAAACAGTCTACAGATCATCGCTGTACACAAAGTTCAACCTGAACACACCCGAGTCCTCTGCTCCACCTACACCCCACTCTAGCTCACTACTCCACCAGTCCAGCCTCCCCTCCTTTCTCCCTGCTCCACAGGGAATTTACTGAGAGAAGTGAGAGGGTTCAGGCCTCAGAAAGGTTCACAGTTAACTGAGCTCTTAAGAACACAACAGTACATAGATTCCCTCCTGTGGTTCTCGTGGTCATAAAACTCAATCAGCTGCTGCCATTAGAAGCTTCAGAATTACAAAGCTGAAAAGTATGGGAAGCAAAAAGACCCAGCTGGTCAGCATGTGGCACGTTCCTCCATAGAGGCACAGCAGACACACTACATGCCTCAACATGGTTGTCCCTGCATCGCAAAGCTGACCAGTCAGAAAGAGAGCAAAAGACGAACTGGGTCATGACAATTGCTCGGTTTTATGGTAGGTGGATGGCTATTTTCAGAACTCATGGAACAGAGGTCTGTTTGTCATGCCTTCAGGACTATTTCCTACCTCGCAAGTGTATGTCAATTACCCATCCAAATCCCGCATTCACCAAACACTGACTCAGCTGGCTGAACAACCTGCTCTCCCAGAATGGGCACAGCATGAGAGCAGCAGAGTGGGCAGCCAATAAACCATGCTAAAGCAGATGGTTCTGTGACTGAGAGCACTGGTTGCTCTTCTAGAGGACCTGGGTTCGATTCCTAGTACCCACACTCCTCCTCAGGCACCAGGCATGGTCATGGTGCACAAACATACGTGCAGGTAGAACATTCATACACTTTTAAGAGGAGGGGGGAGGAAGGGAGGGAAGGAAAGGAAGGGCAGGAGAGAGAAAGAGAAAGAAAGAAAAAAGGAAGGAAGGAAGGAAGGCAGGCAGGCAGGCCGGCCAGGGGCTGATTAACAAGTTTCTGTGTATATTCTCTGATCACTTCATAGAAACAAAAAATAATTGTAATTTTGCTACTGTTATGAATAGTAATGAAAATATCTGATTTGAGGGATAGCTGATATGTAACCCCTGTAAGAGGGTCATTTGACCCTCCCCGCAAGGTGGGGTCTCATCCCATAGGATGAGAATCACTGCTGCAGAGCTAGAGTTACAGGTTGTGTGATGTCTCAAGTAGATGCTGGAAACCGAACTTGGGTCCTTTGCAAGAGTAATATACTCTCTTACCCAATGAGCCATCTCCCCAGCCTATCAGCACTTAATGGTGATCTCAGATTCAAGACACTTTTGCCTTTAGGATCCCTGGCCACTAAATACATAATACATCTTAACAAATAATTCACACTGGTCTATGTAAGAATTTTTAATTTCCTTTTCTTTGTTAATTTTAAATTTTGTAGACACTGCCCCTGCCAAAGTTGAAACAGCTTAGTTTGCCTCTTAATGACACACGGTCAATGATCTTAGAGTAAATCACTAAAATTGTCACTATAATACATATTCATTAGGGTGGGATTTTTAAATTTTGTTTTGGTTTTTTGAGACAGGGTCTCACTGTGTAGCTCTGGTTGGCCTCTCACCATTGTAGACCAGGCTGACCTTGAACTCACAGAGCTCCACCGGCTGAGAGTGGGAAATTTTTCCTTTTGTGTACTGTATGCCCTAGCACCTATTCTTGGCATAGCATTAGTGAGCAGATATATGTTATTAAACATTTGCAAGCTCACGTTTTTTTTTTTTTCTTATGCAGAGTAACACATTGTTCCTAAGCTGGGTGTGTGTATGGGGGGAGGGGTGTCTACCAATGTAAATGGAATTTCTTCTTGTTGTTGTTCAAAGCTACATTAAGGGTGAGCTCAACAGTTATTGTAAGTCACAAGCATTTGTCTTCCAGATTACACCGCCACGCGTGCCAAACGGACAGCAAGCAATCAACATTGTCTTGCATCTGGGGGTGAGCAACACAGAGTCTCCCAAGAAAGGTGCACCATGAAGGCAAAAGGCATGAGAGGTGCCAAACCTCTGTACCCACCAGACTTGCCTGTACCAGAGCTGGGGTGAAAGCCACAGATGGAAACCCAGCTGCATGCCAGACTACAGAATCACACCATCAAGGAGTTAACAACAACTCCAAGGTGAAGATTGAACCACCCAGAACAGCTGGTAAGGAACATCATAACTAAGCAGTCAAAGGCAGCAGGGACCAACCGTGGGAAACCAGCTCAGTTTTGAGATGCATGGCGGGAAATTTGCACTAATGAAAGCTATAATGGTCAAATTTGAAAACGCTTTACTTTGATAAAGATTATCCTCCTCCTCATGTTTCTAAGAAAAATGTGGTCCTTCTCAGAGAAGCCCCTGCTGGGACCCACACACGATGCCACGTACACAGTAGGTGTGTCTCCCATAAACGCCATCCGTGACATCATGGGGGGCTGACTAGTGTCTAAAGCAGCCAGCTCAGGACACGGACGGGGCCGTAAGCACAAATCTTTGCTCCAGCTGTCTGACAGAGCAGCCTCTGGCACAGTAACATCATTATTTCACAGATGCAGGCAGGAACTACTTACTATCTGTGCTTGTGGAATCTGAACTCTCAACAATAAAAACAATCCCTAAATGTAAACGAGAGCTTGACGCGGAAGAGGCCTTGCTGGACTAATCGGTGCTATTTCGATGAGATCTGAAGATGTGAGGGAACAGCACATTAATTTCCTAATTCTGAAGGTCACCTTGACTGGGAAGGCAGATGGGGGTAAACATGACTAAGTACTGCTGAGAATGCTGGGCCTTTACTGTCCACACCCTGTGAGGTTTTCCCTCTTAAATGATCAAAGACAAGGATGAGTTCTTTGACATTTGAGAGATAGCTGTCACTCTCCCCTTGTGCTCAGCCGACTCGAGAAGAGCTGTCAATCAAACAAGCTACTTGGGGAACAACTGGCCA